TCTTCTTCCGCACTCTTCGTTGTCTCGTGCAAATGCAGGTTTAAGCTTTAAGAACTGATCGGAGATATAACAAACAAATGGCTGAATGTCACCGTAACAACAATATCGGATCTCTCATTCTCGACCGTGCTCCTACCTCTACTTCCGGCAACCATTTCCGTCTCTGGTCCACCTTCTCTGGATCCGCATTCCGTCGGAAGATCTTCGACGCCGTTAGCTGCGGCGGTAGCTCACGTTACCGTAACGAGCTCCGGGAAAAAGACGACGACGAGGGAAGCTACGTGACGACGGTAACGGAGAAATCAGCGGCGAAGGTCGACGCGAAATCCAAGACGATCGGCGCGGCGTTGAATGGCGTTGCGTTTGAGGAGAAATCGAAGAAATCGGAGAAGCTTTGCGATCTGTTGAATTTAGCGGAGGTTGAAGCTGATTTCGAGACGAAGAAGAAAGAGGAAGCGCTCGAGATTCTGAAGCGCGTGGTGAGAGAGCTACAGGAGGCGGCGGCGCGGGGTGACTGTGGGAAGAAATTAGCGGCGGCGAGTGAGGTTCGGTTGATGGCGAAGGAAGATCCGGAGGCGAGAGTGACTCTGGCGATGCTCGGTTCGATTCCGCCGCTAGTTAGTATGATCGACGATTCACGAATCGCTGATTCTCAGATCGCTTCGCTTTATGCTCTTCTCAATCTAGGGATTGGTAACGACGCGTGAGTCTTCTTTAATCCCTCTCTTGATTTGGTTTCATTTGTTAATAAGTCACTTTCTATGATTCTCTTTTTATAATATGAACAATGAAGCATTTATTTCAATCTTTTGCTTATTTGATACATTGCTAGATTCTGAAGAAACTTTAGATTTTTTTTTTTTATTGTTGCAGGAATAAAGCAGCCATTGTTAAAGCAGGTGCTGTTCACAAAATGTTGAAGTTAATTGAGTCTCCAAACACACCTGATCAATCAATTGCAGAAGCTGTGGTTGCTAATTTTCTCGGATTAAGCGCGTTAGATTCGAACAAACCGATCATCGGTTCTTCGGGTGCGATTATCTTCCTTGTGAAAACTCTACAGAATCTTGACGAAACAAGCAGCTCACAAGCGAGAGAAGACGCATTGAGAGCTCTTTACAACCTCTCAATCTATCAACCAAACGTTTCGTTCGTCCTCGAAACCGATTTAATCACGTTTCTCTTGAACACATTGGGAGATATGGAAGTTAGCGAGAGGATTCTCGCCATCTTGAGCAATCTAGTGTCAGTCCCTGAAGGAAGAAAAGCAATCGGTTTGGTCAACGATGCATTCCCGGTTTTAGTCGATGTACTGAACTGGACTGATTCGCCCGGATGCCAAGAAAAGGCGACTTACATTCTAATGTTGATGGCTCACAAAGGATACGGAGATCGACAAGCAATGATTGAAGCGGGAATCGAATCATCGTTACTCGAATTAACTCTTTTAGGAAGTGCATTGGCTCAAAAGCGAGCTTCGAGGATATTAGAGTGTCTAAGAGTAGACAAAGGGAAGCAAGTCTTGGACAGTACGGGATCTTGCGGAGCTTTGTCTGCGCCTATCTATGGAACTCGAGGCAACGGTTTAGACCACGAGGAAAGCGATTTGATGATGAGCGAAGAGAGGAAAGCCGTGAAGCAATTAGTGCAACAGAGTTTACAGAGTAATATGAAGAGAATCGTAAAGAGAGCTAATTTGCCACAAGACTTTGTTCCTTCAGAGCATTTCAAGTCATTTAGTTTAAGCTCTACTTCAAAGAGCCTCCCCTTTTGAAAAAAATGTAAGTCTTTCATCATTAGTAAATTTAATTAGATTATGACATTGATTAATTTTTAGTTAACTTTCTTCTCAAGGCTTTGATTTGATGCTTCTGTCTCTCACTTACTGACAGTGGCATCAAATGTAAATACGTGGAAAATTAGGGGTATTCTCTCACATCAGTTCCTCGAGACCCACATAGGCCGAATTTCGAAATGACCATATTACCCATTTTTCATAACTAAAGTGTCGGTCATTTTCTTCTATTGAAGTATGGCTTGGTCCACTTTATTGCCTTTTGCTTTGATTGTTTTTTATTTCTCTGTAAAATATGTTTCGTTTTTTTTTTTTTTATAATTTTGAAACTTAATATGTTTCGTTTTGGTTTCTCATTTTTTTCTAAATTGAGGTTTTTTGGAGTCTTTTGGAGACATTAGTTTATGGGTTGTGTAGTTGTTTTCCGAATATATTAAAATAGAGTTTGCGTGAATAAACAATTTGACGGCGTGATGAATTGGATCTCTGGATCTAACTACATTTG